GAACTAAACCTACTAAAGTGGTCGTATCAAGGAAGAAAGTGTCAACTCTAGTATAAGTATATATATAGGTAGAGGAGTAAAACGTATAATCTTTCTCCAAGGGCTGAAGAATTCTCCATCCATCATACAGCTAATACAATTCAAACAGTTTACTTATGCCCTCTCACATGATCCATAATTTGTGTTTTCTCCTCCCTGTGTGATAGGAGGTGGTATTTAGGGTCGGAGATTGGATAAAATTAAACTCTCCACATAATATCAGATCACCCATTTTACGTTTTGTTAGTTAAGGATAAGAGAGAACTTAAAAAGTTCCTTTGATCAGAGTTGGGGAAATATACAGATACTAATCTGCACTGTATAATATTAAAGTTTTTGACTGAGGTAATAAATCTTCTTTGTTTTCTATTATTTTCTTATGCATTTGGAATGTGTTATCTTTATGAATAAGTATTGACAACTCCTCTGGATTAAGCTTCAAACATGGAATGGTTTTAAATGGGGAAATGTTTAGGAAACATGCAAGGTGTTTGGGGGCTTCTGAAAAAGGTTACTTGTATGCATGCTGTATCTTATGCATGTTGCCTAAGATCGTTCAGGAGCGTTCTCCTTTTCTCTGGGTTGTTTAACCCTTTAACATTAAAGTGACTATTTTCACTCTATGATATCAGTATTGGTAGTATGATCCCCACCTGGGATTTCTTCGGAGCAGAGGTTGTAGAGTATAAGATGTCAGGAAGTGGAAATAAGCTAACCAAACCAGGAAGTAACAGGACCTGTTTTCTGCTTGAAAACCCATGGTGGTGTAACCAGTATCATTTATAAAAGTGTAAATTTTTTTTAAAATCTGTACTTTTTCCAAAATGAAAAAAAGGACACACTTTTAAAGCTTTTCAGCAAACTTCCGTAATTTAGGGATCTGGAGTGGAGTAGACAGGGACACTGCACCCAGACCACTTCAATGAATTTAAGTGGTCTAGGTGCCTATAGTTTTCCTTTAAGGCAGCATTTAGAATGAGAACTGACCCTAAGAACAAACAGTACTGTAAAGTTAGAAGCAGTTCCTACATTTATACAGCAAAACAGACAGATTTTGTCAGTCCTAAAAATAATTTATCTGCAATACTGTCAGACATATTATGCCAGAACATATAAATATTATTGTACCACACACACTACATGTCACAATTAAGAAACATTAGGGATTATTCTATTTTTAATTAGGGATGCTGCATCAAGAAAGAGGAAGTGGGAGGAGCTTCCTGACCCTTTGTGATTGATATTTGTATTGTGATTGGTTGTTTTTTTACTCATTTTGTTAACCATTTCTTTGCTGCTGGGAGGTTTGCGTAAAGAAAGTAACGTAAATATTCCTCTGCTGTCTTTAATAAAATTTATATTATTCGGTCATTAACAGAATAATCCCTAATTTTATGGCAAGACAGGAGGCTTCATATTTGCTATTTTAACGCCAAGAAATAAATGGAAAAAAGGAATGAGAAGTTAGGCGAAAATAAGGTACGTAATGTAGATTCTCTAGACCAGTCGGCAGAGGTTAATATGTCAGAGAGGGATCCGCCTCCTAAAAGGGCTGAGGAGACAGCAGCACCTCGAACTGAATATGCTCCAAAGGAAGTGTCGATTCCAGCAAGGTGGAGAAGCCATTTGATCCAACCAGCAATTGTGGGACAGGAAACAGGCCAGTGGGGCTCAAACATATGAAACTAAGAGGGGACCCATAGGAGCATGAAGTGGGGTAGTAATAGAGAGGTCTGCATTAGAGGGCCAAGCTTCCAAAAAGTAAAAAACTATTGACAAATATAAGGTCAATTCTGGCGTGAGTGCAACCTTAACTGGGGAAAATTGGTTGTGGTCATTCGGCTCTGAGTTTATTTCTGACCTCTTTTTCGAGAGGCTTGCGGAGCCATAGTCTTCAGAATTGAGCAATGTGTTTGGGTGGAGCCCATTTGGCTGAATGTGGGTGTTTAGTTAGTTTTGGGTCAAAGATTGGCCTTGAGTGTCCAGCAGTGTGTCAGATGACTGATCCTGCTGTGAATTAGCAGAGGGGGTCGGCGAATGAGAAATAATAGTTTCTTTGACATATTGTGATGGGGTATAAACTTATCATCAAAAGTGATGTCATCGGAATAGCCAGCCTGATATTCATCCACGACTTGTAAGTCGAGAGAAGTGGAGCCCTCTATAGGGTCCAGTTGCTTCAATCGTGTAAAAGAAGCATGGCTTAATTTACGAGCCTTGGCCTGCCCTTTGCCCTTACCGGCTGAAACGCTATTACCCTTCCAGGGGCGTTTGTGGGAAGCCCCTTCCTGGTCAGATAGGTTCCGAGACTCCTCAGAGTCGGAAAGGTGATGTAATGTGTCTTTAGGAATGGGGGTAGGTTGCTCCTGTAGGGCAGCAAGAGCCTTGGGAATCGATTTTGCGATAGCAGAAAAAAGCCAGGCTTTGAGTTCAGCAGAAATTGAAGGGTCTGGATGTTCAGCCATATTATCAGATAACAGAAATAATGTTTATAATATATATATATATCTAAACTTTCTTTTTTTTTTTTATATAGGAAGAAGTTCGAGGTTCACCCAGAGTCAGTTGGGGTTCAGCCAAACTGAAAATACATGGGATTTACCCAGAGGTTTAAGAAATTCTGAAGTGGGGTCAGCCACTATTAGACAACTTAATGTGGGGTCAGCCACAACAAATACCAGTAAGTACTTAGTAAAAATGCGGGTCACCCAGTAAATAGCACTTAAATAAACAGACAACACATTGATTTTAATGTAAAAAATCATAATGGAGGCAAGTGGGGGTCACCCACTTCAGAGGCAAAAACAAATTATAGTGGGGGTCACCACAGCATGGATGATGCGAGATTTAATTAACTAGAGCAGTTTGGTATTATACAAGAAAATCAATAGGGACAGTGACTTAACTGAGGGAGTATAGGGGAGAGACAGGTAATCTGTAAAGAAAAAAATAAGAGTAGTGAGTATAGGTTCTAGTAGAACTATTACCCAAAGATACGATTGCCGAAATACAAAGGAAGAAAAAACTTACCTTGGACAAGGGTAATGAAGGTAAGTAGAATGGAGATCCAGAATGCACAGTTTGACCGTTAAGGTGTAGCTGAAAAAAAGGCGGGAAAACGTGGAGCGACGTTTCGAAAATGACCGCCGGCCCCTCACAAGAGGGAAGGAAAGGGCGGCAAACAAACAGCATTTATGATGTGAAATCAAAGCAGGCGGGACACGAAACACTAGGTGAAGCCCACCGCTGTGTGCAGTAAAATCAGTAAGAAGGAGTAAACGAGCAGAGGGGAAACTGAAACTTAGAGAGAGTAAAAGTGAAAGGTCTCTCTGTTAAGCAAGAAAAGGAATCCCTTAAACCATAATGGTTGGAATAAGGGAATTGATAAAATAAAAAAACATAAAATAATAAAAGGGATAAACAAACCTGTAAAGTTTTAATCATAAAAGGAATAATTTATAATATGAACAGCAAAAATCAAACTAAATTAGCTGTGTAATTAGAACAGACTCACCTGGGAGGCAAGCAGCAAAATAAGAGGAAGTGGGAGGAGCTTCTTGGTTGTTTTTTTACTCATTTTGTTAAAGGACCACTATAGGCACCCAGACCACTTCAGCTTAATGAAGTAGTCTGGGTGCCAGGTCCAGCTAGGTTTAACCCTTTTTTCTATAAACATAGCAGTTTCAGAGAAACTGCTATGTTTATAATAGGGTTAATCCATTGAGAGCCACTAGAGGGCTTCCGCGCTTCTCACTGTGATTTTCACAGTGAGAAGACGCCAGCGTCCATAGGAAAGCATTCAGAATGCTTTCCTATAAGACTGGCTGAATGCGCGCGCGGCTATGGAGGAGGAGAGGAGGAGGAGAGTCCCCACCCGGCGCTGGAGAAAGAGGTAAGTTTAACCCCTTCCTCCCCCTAGAGCCTGGTGGGAGGGGGGCCTTGAGGGTGGGGCACCTTCAGCACACTATAGTGCCAGGAAAACGAGTATATTTTCCTGGCACTATAGTGGTCCTTTAACCATTTCTTTGTTGCTGGGAGGTTTGAGTAAAGAAAGTAAAACAAATATGAAGCCTCCTGTCTTGCCATAATATTGCATCAATTTTGTAGCTTTTTAAAGTCAAATAACGTGACTTTTTATTTCCCGAAGTTGGATTGAGTCCTTTTTGAAATATTCAGTGTTTACATGATTTACCTGCAGCCTGGGCGAGATGTAGAGCTATGCTCCATCCTCAAACAGCCTCAATGTTTTGCCAGCCCCGTTTCTCCATCCTTTGGGCAAGCTGAGACCTAATTTAAAGCACCCAGTGTGGTACTCTCCTGCATTGGGCAAGTTGTAGCCACACATCTGTCTTCCTTTCTTTACATCTTTGCTTGTAATAGCTGTATGCTGAACTCATTGTTTATTGATTTTAAGATGTGCAACATAGTGAATGTATGACTTTATGACAAATATCTAATACCTCTAATGTGGGATATTATTTTGTTAGTTCATGTAATATTGCTTAACTTATTATTACATTTTGTATTACCTCACAAAAATAAAATAAAACTTAAAATAAAAAAAATAAAAATTCTGTCCACCAGGAAAACCTGAGAATACTTTAATTTTCAGGGATCACAAAAAGGAAACATGGTATTATGCACAAAAAGTAATTCCTGGGTAAAATGCTAAAAGACAAAACAGTTACCATGGAAACCTATAGACTATATATGAAGCCCAGTTGCATTTTTAGTGAACCATGGTTTTAGTTTATACAGAACCCTCAATAAAGTTGCATTGCTTCCACTGAATGGAACACACATGCTGCTCTCTCACAATAGCATGATGCATTGTTTACATAGAAACGTAATCATCTGCTGGCAGAACACGCAGCCAATCGCCTTGCTCAAACGAACACTGACGTTCCTGGGAACCAATCAGACACGCGGAAGTGGGTCGGGTTAAGGATGCGTCAGGTTAGGTAGGCTCTATCTATGGGAATGTTTAGAGAACAGAACTTGGAGGATTCTAGGTTCCAATAGACAGAATTTTAAGGTACACTTCGGGATAGACTTGTTGCTAAATGTGTATTGACATTACATAGAGAATATTAGGCGCTTATAATAGACAGTGCATGGACATGTCTGCCATGAGCCCTTCACACTACTGGACTCAGTGCTGGAAGGAGTAACTGAATGGGTTATATTGCTATATAGTATATCTCCTGTGTCAGGGTGAAATACAGCATTTGTGATTTACTCCAATCTAGAGGGGATAGGAGATCCTGGGGGCTTGTACTGTTTGGAGGTGAATCTTTAGGGTTTATTTACTAAACACTTGTAGTGAATTAAAAGTGTATTGCAATTTCAAGAAAAATGTGGTGATATTCAGGAATTCTTCAACTTGACTGAAGGTACAGTTTGTAACTAATGAAATTTTGCAGCATGGTTTTCTGTTAACTTCAATTTGCTATTTACCAAATAAACCTTCCAGATATTCTGTTTTGCTGACACTGGAGTTCTGCAATGTGATGTTTTCTTGTTAGGGGTGATGTGGAGATATTTTAATGTGCGATTGTATTAAAAGCTTAAATACGTAATTGAAATATGAATGGTTTCATTAGTTTACAAATGTTAAAGGACCACTATAGTGCCAGGAAAACATACTCGTTTTCCTGGCACTACAGTGCCCTGAGGGTGCCCACACCCTCAGGGTCCCCCTCCCGCCAGGCTCTGGGGAGAGGAAGAGGTTAAAATCTTACCTTTCTCCAGCGCCGGGCGGGGAGCTCTCCTCCTCCTCTTCTCCTTCATAGAGACGTCATCGGCTGAATGTGCATTTACAATGCTTTCCTATGGACGCTGGCGTCTTCTCACTGTGATTTTCACAGTGAGAAGCACCCAAGCGCCTCTAGCGGCTGTCAATGTGACAGCCACTAGAGGCTCTAGAGGCTGGATTAACCCTATTATAAACATAGCATTTTCTCTGAAACTGCTATGTTTATATAAAAAAAAAAGGGGTTAACCGTAGCTGGACCTGGCACCCAGACCACTTCATTAACCCCTTAAGGACACAACTTCTGAAATAAAAAGGAATCACGACGGAATATTTCGGTTATGTGTCCTTAAGGGGTTAAGCTGAAGTGGTCTGGGTGCCTATAGTGGTACTTTAAGCCCTTAAGGACCAAACTTCTGGAATAAAAGGGAATCATGACATGTCACACATGTCATGTGTCCTTAAGGGGTTAAAGTATATGTGTCACCATACACATAGAGTACGTTCTGCTTCAATAGAGGTGATTATGCTAAATATCTTATAGGTTTGAAATGCCTTAAAGAAGCGCTTTCCCGTCCCAGGAGTCTTAAAGAAAAAATATTTATTTCTCAATGGACACAATAGAATTAAGAATATAAACATGTATTCCTATTGCTATAGTGCGCTATGTAGATCAGAGCCCCCCTAAATTGCAATAAAAAAAGTTTTTTCCAGCGCTGAGACTCCCTTGGTGCTTAAGGCATCACTCGCTTGGCAATGGTCCAATGCTCATTGTAGAGGAATATTTTGGGACTTGATGCTCTTTCACAGCCATATAATTCATTGTCTTCCTGCATTTGATGGCTTTCGATGTCCTCATGGATGTTGAATGTCACATGAACAAATTTTATTCTGTTGTTTTCTACAAAACCTCAATGTTTTACATTGTTTCTTGTGTTTAGATTAACGGGCCCTCTTTGTTTTACATAAATAAAAGTAAAATAAATGCCATAGAATTTACCTCTAATCCAACGCTGGGACATCTCCTCTGCCACCGATGAAGTAATCTGTTCTGATAAAAAAAATTTAATCTGGTGCTCCTAATAGAGAAACATTGAGGACATATGTCGCAATATATGGCAATTCTGTATGAGAAGCATCGGACATCATCGTCATGTTAACTTAAAGACCTTTAAAAATCAAAGTTTTTCAATGAGAAGGTTCTTTTAGTGGTTTAGGCAAAATGTAAACATGCAATTTCTGACACAAAAGGCAGCATTCATTTACCAAACCTACTACATTAAGATGTTCTGAGAGTGTCATTTTCATATGTTTATATATCTGCTATATTTAAAGGGACACTTTAGGCACCCAGACTACTTCAGCTCATTGAAGAGGTCTGGGTGCATAGTCCCAGGTCCCTTAACCCTACAGTGGAAATTATTGCAGTTTCTGAGAAACAGTGGAACCTCAACCAGCGCCAAGGGACCTTAGTGCTACAATCAGGTAAGTCACAGAAGTTTTTTTTTTTAACCTTTTCTGCACCACGAGAGGCGTGCACTATAGGGAACTCAGTTTTCCTGGCACTAAAGTTTCCCTTTAAAGGAACACACCAAGCACCATGACCACTACAGCTCGCTGTACCTATTATATTTAACGGAGCACTCAAAGCAACATAAACATTGTTACTTGCCTGTAGTACCCCAAGCGCTGCTCTCTGCCTCCACCACCAATGACAGAGAGCCAGAATCTCCTAAGCAGTGGCTTCCATTAGCTCTTCCATTAGCTCAAAGAGATAATGCCAGTGCTTAGCTAATTGGCTGATAGAGAAAATAACTGAAGCTATAGAAGGCATTCTGGTGACATGCAGCTACAGGTAAACCATAACAGGGATGTGTCAGCAGAGGACATAGACCCAGAGCTTACCTGGGTTCTACCAGGGCTCCTGCTCTACATCTGGTCTTTTCGTGTGGCTGAGTGTGTCAGCTGAACTCTTACCTAATAAATGAGTAGCTGCATTGAACAAGCTTACATCCTGTTTCACTAGTTTTAAGAAGATCCAGATGCCAGGATCTAAGCAAGTGCTATATCTTCCTAAAACAGTTTGACAGATTAGGCTGGGATAGTTCCAGGACACTCTGCACCCTAACCACAACATCATGCTATAGTAGTTATGGTGCTTGAAGTGTTCCTTTAATTATATGCTTTCCAATATCATAGGATTATTATTTGCAATAAGAAGGTAGTGCTGCTATGTAAAACATGCTATTGTGAGCAGAACCTGATGAATATTTGTGCCAGTTCCTACCAGCTTTTGGATCCTTGCCCCAGGATTTTTTTAAAGGAACACTGTAGGCAGCCAGACCACTTCAGGCAATTGAAGTGGTCAGCGTGCAGTGTCCCATTTACATTTAGTGCTGTAATGTTAAACATTGCAGTTCCAGAGAAACTGCAATGTTTGCATTGCAGCTTTAAGTCTGCCCACAGTGGCTGCCTACCAGACACTAGAGGGCTTCCTGAATTGAAACTGACCATTGGTCAGGTATCTGATGCTGGATGCCCTCACGCTGTGCATGAGGACATCCAGTGTCAGATTTTTTGATTGATTCAATGGTTTCCTATGAGGAGGCCTAATGCGCGTGCGGCATTTGCAACGCATGCGGATTAGCACCCGCTCGTCGCAGTAAAAAGATATGTGAGTAAAGGGTTTTTAACCCTTTATTTACCCGGGCGGAGGCAGAGGGAGCTATAGTGCCAGGAAGACAGCTTTGTATTCCTGACACTTATAGTGTCCCTTTAACCACTGGAATATCCATATTAAAGGGACAGACAGTGCTTTATAAATTATGCTTGCATAGCTTATAGATCAGAGGTATTCTAGATCTCCAGAGGATGTGATATACACCACATGCCTTTGCCTTCCTCTAAATTTTTTGGATTGCAAAGTTTTGTGGGGACTGCCGATAATTGCTGGATTTTCTTTATTGTGCACTCCAGGTATAGATCGTTTTTTATGTCTTACATATGCACAGTCTGATTGGCAGTGTCTCTTTGACCAAATTGTCTTTTTGACAAACCCATTTGTCCATATGAGCAGTACTAATATATTCTGTTTATTAAACACATCCTTCTCTTCATAGATTTCTCTACAATGAGTATTTGTCCAATAACTGTAATTCTCTTGCATGTGTTTTACAGCTTTAATTGCAGCCTGCAATGACTAAATATTTAAGTACACATGATGCCTCTGGACTAGAATTCTTTTTATGCCAGGGCTTTTTGCTCAAAGAAATGAAGGCCGCCACCGCTGCCACAGCATCTTAAATTTTGGATGCAAAATAGATTGTGGTTTTTTTACTCTGCCAGGATTGCCGCCATGGAACGTGACTGAATAGGTTGAAAGCGAAGAACTGAAATTGCAAGATTGAGGTATTTTTTTTTCCATTAGTTTAGTTATCTTTATAATCATGTATGAGGAATATTTTCTAAAATGTGCATTTGAGAATTGAATTACTTACTTGAGGTTATTTAGTAAAATCTAAACATGCTACAGATTAGAAAAATTCTGAGAAAATTACCAGAATGGCAGAATTTCATTAAGAAATAGATCTCATTAAGAAATAAAATAATGAAATGCAATTACTAAAAAGAAAAACATTGCTCTGGTAAGTTATGGAGGATAGTAAATCTAGTAAACTACCTCTGGAGTTCCTCCAAATTGCCCTATTTTCTACTGAGTGACTTGTCAAATGTGATAGTTGGGGAATAACCCTACATTTATAGTACTTTATATATGGTTTAATAATTGCAAAATTTACTGGATAAACTTGCAAGTGTTCTGCACGGCAATTTATTATTAAGTAAATAAAACTCCAAGTACCATAATCACTACAGACCGCTTGCTCCATCCCACTGTTAGATGGTTTGATAACTTAGCTGTGTACTGTTGAACAGAGCAAAAAAAACAGGATGCAAGAGAATACCAAGAACGGAAAACGGCTCAAGAGCTTGCCCTTCAGTGAGTCCCTGCTCATATCTCAAGGTGGATTTAGCTCATCTTGTGTCATTACAAAGAGACCTGAGCCATTTGTATATCAATCCCAGGCAGACCGGTTCTATATTTACAAGAGATACAGCAACCCCAGACAATCGTTTTGGTCTTGTTAGACCTCGTGAGATATAACTGACATGGACCCATTTGCTTATGGTGCCTTGGCATAAAAAGAGAATACTCTTTAAATGCTCGGTTTTGGAATGCTGTGCATTTTGTCCTGTCATGACACAAGATGTCTGTTCTGTGGAAGGTATTGCTATATGATAAGTGGAGGATGTAGCATTCAGCAGCAAACCTGCATTTTGTCATATTGTGGGGCTTATTTGAGGACTTTCACTTAAAAGTGCATATTTTACAACTTTGACAATTGTCGGCATATTTATAAATACGCTGCAACTACAATTTAATTGCATACGCCAACTGTTATAACACGGGGGGAGAAAGAATGGAGATGTTATACAATTTAGGCTTCCAGAAATAAAACTGTGCATCTCCATCTTGGCTGCAGGGCACAGATATGGACAGTGCTGACATCCTGAGGCTTATGGGTAAAATGAGCAGAGACAGATTACATTGCACTAGATACTAAGACTTTAATATGATTAGACAGCTGAATAAAACTTCCCTAGTTAACCTGTTACTGAAAGTCAACCGTTTTCTATTATATGTGAAACATATAATTTTGCTACGTAGTATATAGACGTTCGAGACAATTCATGCAACGTGATTACATGTCGCTCTTTGCTTAGGTTATGATGCAATATTCATTGTCCCAGTTACTTTTCATTGCCTTCATTATTGCTTCAGTGATTTGAAAAAATTACTGCAACTATACGTTTATACAACTTTATCCCCTAATTTGTGACATCATCGGGGGAATTATGTCACTTCTCTCCATATATTACGTCTGTCGTCAGCGCTCACTTCACGCTGGCAACAGACATAATGTGCTCTTGTCCCACCTCGCTATACAGTCCTTTACATTTGTTTCCCCTACGTTCCCACTTCTCCCTCACCAGTACCTCCACAAGACCGCACAAGACATGCTCTCTGAGCCAGCTAAACAGTCCAATCAGTGTTATGACAGTTGTTTGAGTGGACCGTGTGATGACAGGCGTGATGTCAGGAGGGTCAATGGAAAGGAGTGCTGGGTGCTTTACCTGGTTCTGGGTGGTTTTAGATATGTAAAACATTACTTTTTTAGCTATTTGTTAGTTATTTTGAATAATGCTTTGAGAACAAAATTGCATTGAGAAACTGATTTTTTTTTTTTTTTTATCATATAGACATTTCCCCTCTGACATATCAGTTAGTGTTGCCTTAATTACATCTTGTTTCTTATTTAAAGCTGTTACTCTCCCCCCTCCCTTTTGGCTGTAGAGGTTCTTGTGTATTTTGACATTTTAGGGAGAAAGCTGTTTTTGAATCCCAAAGTGCACAGGTGAATCCCAAAGTGCACAGGTTTTAAATAGCAACATGAAGGAAACTGGGATAGGGTGTAAAAGTGCTTTAAAAATGTCATTTATTCATGTTAGATTAAGTTAGCTGCTCAACCAAAGTGATGTATATGTTTTTAATAGTGGAGAATTTAGTGAAAACCAATTAAGGTATAGCTTACTAAACTTGTGAAAGAAAATCACCAATTTGAGACAATAAAGTACTTAACATAAGATAGTATATGTGCAAAATATCTTACTTTCACAATTAAAGTGGAATATAATAAAGTGCGTATAAACAAACACTATTGTGTATGTGGAAAATGGAATAAATATAAATTCTATTATATCCACAATTAATAAAGTGCAACTTAAAAAGGTGTCTATATCCGGATTACAGTGTGTAACTGAAACAAATTTGTCATTATTGAAAAATCTTTGTGTCACACACAGTGATACTTAGCTACAGGTTTAATCTTCCTTATAGTTTTGTAACACCTCAAAAATAAGATAAAAAACAAAACACTTAATAGTGCAGACAAATCCAGTTTCTGTAGCACCCACAGCAATGTCAACTCACAGAGATAGAGCCTAAGTATTGGCTCTAATTTGTAGCTGTGGAGTCTTAAATAAGGTACTGATTTCCTCCAATGGAACTCCTCTTCCTTATACAGTGGCAGTATATCCAAGCAATAGAGAAAGAAACATATTGTGTGGTATATCCAAGAAGGAAATATTAGAAGGTAGCAACTTGGTTGCACTCACGTGTACTCGAGCCTTTTCTTGCAGGCTTTGCTATATGAGCAAGCGTCTCTTTTAGGGCGACGCTTACCTTTGATGGTTATGTATACAAGATTTCCTCAGTAAGATGGTAGTATGTAAATTTGATTATAAGGGACAAATATATAAAAGCAAGTATTTTAAAACAGAATATAAAACAAATAGGATTCGTATTTAACAGAGTCTCTTCTCTGTCTGAAATTTGTTTCACCAAGTCAGCTTCTTCAGTCAGTGACTCAGTATATGGATAGCCTGACGTGTAGCACTCATGTGTACTGGATTTACATAACATCTTTGCAGGTGGGTACATACACTGAGGTGTAGAGGCTTTGGTGCTTGCATCTTCCCTTTAAATGTTAAAATTTCAGGGGCATGCCAAAAGACCAATCCACCACATCAAATGCTCTCGATATCCCTCACCTTGGATGTATATTTATTAATTTACAATTTTGTGGTGTTTAAAAGATTGCATAAAACAACCTAGGTTTCAGAATATACTGCGTCGTCTCTTTTTTTTTTTTTTTGCATGCCCAACAATTTTACTTTCTCCCTAATGCATAAAAAGAGAAATCTAAGGTTCAAGTCCAATAATGGTAGCAATTATTTTTATATATTTAAACATGGAGCATCAAATAAGCACTAGGGGGCACTAGATATTTAGAAATATAGTTCTGGATTTCAATACTCTTTATAGAGGAGTCTTTCCATGCAGGGTCCGGACTATGCATTATGCATGTGATGTAGCTGCATATTTTGTGCTTTAATCGTAAAACATACGGACTACATTTTTTGCTCTCTCCAAGTACATGTTCTTATGCGTGAAATGCTGTCGAGTTTTTTGTAATGTTATAATTTGCTGTCATCTCCATTTTGTCTCATAGAAACTTCACAGTGTAGGAGATGTCCTCACTGCCTATTTTGACTTTTAATTTGAAACTCATATTGAATTGTCACTTTAGTGAATAATTATATTAGTATTAGGCATTCTGCGGCTATTATCAGTTTACCTATATCTGTGTCCACTGATTGTCTTGAGAGTGCTGGGCTAACCCTTCCACAGCCTTATTATTAGTGTCGTTAATAATACGGCATTATCCCACAACAGGGGATGGTCTGCCCGAATTACTTGCAGGTTATCCTGGATGAATGCAGTGCACTTTTCGGGGACAATGTCCTGCTGTTCCTCAAAGCCGGGACAGCGAAACAGTACCCGAAAATTGGGACTGACTTGCAGAAATAGGGTTTAGCTCTATGAGGAGATGCTGATTTCCTATGGGAAAGCATTGGATTGGCTGAGATAGTCAAATTTGATTATCTCTGCCATTTAGTCGGAGTGGGGCGGGCCCAGTCGTGGCAAAACCGACACAGCAATGGAATACTTTAAACCTAAATGATGCTTTTTCAACTATAGTGTTTGTATTTGTATTTGTATTCCTGACATTATAGTGTTCCATCACAGTTGCTAAGGTAATTAACTACAATCCATCAGAAAAGAATTCTACAGAAGGGCAGACTGTAAACATCATGGACAAAGGAGAACAAAATTGTGGCACCCCTATATTGATATCCGGAATAAGGAAGAAAGCTAAATGAAATACAGAAAATACAGTGCCACTTACTCCAAACAGCATTACCACTTCACTGCTTTGGAGTGTACTTACAGAGAAATGCTGTACCTACAAATAAATGCACTTTACTGTTGGAGGTGCAACTTTACTGAAGCAGAATCATCGGTCAAACAAGGCTGGTATCTGTGCGTTTTGCTGGCGACAAATGACTAATAGTGGCACAGACCATCCAAGTACTTCTTTCAGCCCCTGCTCTGTGACGTTCCTTCCTGTCCAGTGAGGAATAGTGACAGGACAAGAGGAGGATCTCAAGCTGCGGAAAGAACTTGGCCTCAGAGTGGGATTATAGTATATTTTTGCTGTATTTCTTTATAAATAAACCCAGCTAGAGTTACTCCAACAAAAAAGAATGGTTTCGTAAAACACAATTTTTGCTGGAATAACCCTTTAAGGCGTTATTAGCAATTGGTGAATTTGTCATGACAGGCTTACTTAAAAGTATAAACAACCCCCTATATACACTTAATTAGCAGAGGTTTTTGGTACAACTGACATGTAAGCTCATCTGCCAAAGTCAAGTCACACCTCGTGTAGTGGTTCTACACTAATGCACCATGCTGTTTGAAGTTACTTTTTAACGTTTTATATTATTCATCCATACATGCTGACAGAAAAGATGTTGAATAGAACAAGGGACACCGCACTCCCTTGGACCCCAGGGTGCGACTGGACCTGAGAAAGACCAAACTCTGTAGTTTTGAAAGTAGATAACCATAAACACAGGTTTGTTGGAACAGTGTACAAGCGCTTGTAGACTGTTCCAAGATACTTGCGTTTATGGATACACCTTAAGTGCCTGGAATATTGTCTACTTTCTAAAAAATATGTTGAGACAGAACTGAAGGTGTTTACTGTTCAAGATATTCAATAAAAACATGATTTTTAAAATATTCATTATAATTATATTTAACTGTTTATCTTAACATATACTTGTATAATCTAATCACATTTACAGTCTTCCATAAATCTCTGTTGTGTTAGTGCATATTGTGCTGAACATATCTTATGACTCAGTGCTCCATTAATTCAGTTATAGCTTAAAAGGCATAAAGCAACATGTTTTTATATTTTTGTGTGCTTTTCAGCAGTGTTCCCCAACCCAGTCCTCAGGGACCGCCAACAGTCCAGGTTTTGTCAATATCTCCATTGGAATAAAACAGGGAAATACATAAATCCTGGACTGTTGGTGGTCCCTCAGGACTGGGTTGGGGAACAGTTTAATGGACAGAGGCAGACTCTTTTTTTTTTTTTTTTATTCTTTATTTTGTGCTGACAGATGATATAAGCATAGACATAAAACAAGGCTTGTGCAAAAGCCGACATTGAATGCATTGAGTCATTGTGTATATTCATGTTATTTCGTTTACAGAAGAGAAGATAAGTTGGTTAGTTTGTTGCACTCATTGCCTTTGCGGGGATCTCGGTCGTCGTCTGCCTAAGAGTTTTTGATGTGCAGGGGGGGAGTCGGATTTGGGGTGGGTGGGTGCTGGTATGGGGAGGGGGTAGCTGGAGTTCGTCTGGGGTGGGTTGCGGGTGTTAAGTTTTACACAGTAGGTGGTTTGAATGGCGTTCGGGTCATGACGGTTGGGGTTGTGTATGGGGGGTGGGGGTGGGACCTGTGTCCCGAGCGGGTCATTCCTATACAAGTCTCGTTGCTTTGAAATATCTGTTGCTGTACGGGGTTGTAAGAGGTGTCTCTGGGGTTAGTTGACTTGTGGTCCGGTTCGTGGTTACCTTTCGGAGGGAGGGTATGTAGTCCTTTACCCGTCTGGGGTTGTCGGGTCAGTGATGTGTGGTTCCTGTGTAGGCGGTGTGGGGGAGGCTGGCAGACTCATTTTTAAAGGCAAAATGTATGCACAATAGTGTAAATAAATAAATGTTTTCCTTGCCAGAATTACTTTTCGAATTCTAACACTGACATTTAAAAAAAATAAAAATAATAATTAAAAAAAAGGTAATTGTTCATTCCAAACTTATGTAGTTGGGGGTGTAGCAAGGGTTGTTGGACAATGAAGTTACGCTTGGCAGCGGCTGGTGGTTGTGGCAGAGTTGTTAGAATTTCATAGCACATCTAGGATCTGAGTTTCAAATGTTGAGATTTTTTAGAAAGTGTTTTAATTGAAAACATTGGAAGGTTTGTCAAATTGTGGGTACCCTGGAGCCCAGTAGCTTGAGATATATTTGAATTTTTAATTTTGAAAAAGACCACTAATGGGTATAAAGGGTCATTTTGGTGCATTATCTGCAGTCAATGTTAAACCTTTCTGTCCTGCTGTAAATAGTGGATTATGTATATCTGGGTAGTGAAGGGAAAGTGATGGAGACACTTCCTCCGTGTGGGCAATCTTCCTTCAGACCAGCAAGATCATCTTTATAATCAGTTTACAAGGGATATTAAATTCCATTGAAGAGGAAAAAAAAACATGGTAACTCCTGAAGGGGAATATCGGTATGTGATTGTTCAGTGGGGATCCATAACTTGAAAGGGAACGGATTAGTTCAATCCAAAGCACGATCATCTCCCACACCCAGGGATGTAGAGCAACCAGATATTTTCTAGAACATTCTGATAAATTTTCTAACAAACAGGTTGATTTCATCATTGAAGGGATTGAGTGGATCCTGATGAACAACTATTTTTGGTTTGGAGACCAATTTTACCTACAAACATGTGGAACGGCGATGGGTACGAGATTTGCTCCCAGCTATGCAAACCTGTTCATGTCACACTGGGAACAGGAGTTCATTTATGATAATCATAGATGGGATGCAAATCTCGTTACCTATCGTCGTTACATAGATGACATATTTTTTATTTGGAAGGGCGATGAGGCATCCCTTAACTCCTTTTTGATCCATCTAAATACTAATGATCGTGGTATTATACTTACCAGTCACTATAGTAAAACTTCGGTCGAATTTTTGGACCTTAACATATATGTGGAGGATGATATTCTGAAATCTTGTACTTTCTTTAAAAAGGTTGACGTTAACAGCTATATAGGGGAGAAGAGTTGCCACTTCTCCCCTTGGCTGCTGAACGCTCCCAAAGCACAATTACTAAGAATTAAGCGTAATTGTACGGATAATACCAAATTCCAGGAACAATCCATTAAAATACTTAAAGATTTCAAGGAAAAGGGATATAATGAACAACATCTGATGAAAGCTTATGAGGAGGTAGAAACGAAAAACAGAAACGATTTACTCATATATAAGGATAAAGAAATTGATACACAACATCAAAATTTGAATTTTATTTGCGATTTTAATTGTAATAATAAACAACTCAGGAAAATAGTTAACAAATACTGGCCAATACTTAAAAATGACCCTGTTCTCCATTCTTTGTTGCCAGATAGACCTGTGATTACCTATAGAGGTGTTAACAACTTGAGCAGTAGTCTAGTACATAATCATTTACCATCAAGTAAGACTACTAATAAATCATCCTTTTTTAATGAGACTAATGGATTTTATGGGTGTGGCTCATGTGGAGCTTGTAGGAATACACAAAGTTCAAAAAGAGTAATTAGGGAATTTAATCATCCTAAAGATGACAGCAAGAGTTTTAAGATTAAACAATTAATTACATGCCACTCCACAAGGGTAATATATAAAATTATGTGCCCATGCAAACTTACACATGTAGGAAGAACCATTAGGACACTCAATACACGAATCCAAGAACATATAAGAAATATTAAAAATGGTTTCGAGAAACATAGTGTTTCTCAGCACTTTAAGGATAAACATAATTGTGACCCTCGCTGTATGGAATTCATGGGAATCCAAAGAATTTCTATGAATTGGAGGGGGGGAGATCTAATGAGGAATATAGGTCAAACTGAGATGAAGTGGATTTTTAATTTAAATACAATGCAACCATATGGATTAAATGATGATTTCGAAATTTGTCATTTTTTATAATTATACTTCAGTTTTATATATATTTTATATTAGAGATCTTTATATATATATATACTAATTATTTTTACTAGATTATACTATTTCCATTTTTAATTATTATTTTTTTAGTTAAATCATCATGATGACCATATAGTGTGCATTTTTTAATTATGCTATAATATATCTTTTAACTGTTTTGTATTACTATATACACTCCTCTAAATCATTGTCCCCCATTTTTTTCCTTATCATGATTTAAATTTCGGAGAACTATTTATATTTATGGACATTTCTGGGATATTGGATAAGCAGTGATCTGAACTTGGATACCGAATGGATTTTGCCCTTAAGCAAGATGGCCGCAATACTATTGAGGATACCCAACATATCTCTTCACCAAGCAAAATGATCCCAATATCACGAATGGCTGGATTAATTGATATAATCAAATAAGACTTTTTTATAGTATTCGCTAAGTTGTTTTATTATAATCTTTTGTATGTGATATTGTATGTAATTGTGTACGATTGCAGCCCACTTCCGTAAGTGACGTCACGCGCACGAGGCGTCATGCGTGATGACGTCACGACATCAGTGATATCGGAAGCAGCTGGGCTTCACACTGGGACTAATGCCGTGATTGGATGTATCACGGACGTCTCCCTCCAATCAGCTCCCTACTAATGGGTATTTAAACTTCGATTTAGCAGCATTATGTCCACCAATTGATAAAGCCGAACAGTATATCGGCGAAACGCGTCTTGGACACAGCACTGGCACTTGAGTATACAGATTTTATTTGTTTTTATAAGTTGCAATAAATGTTTATTTCTGTTACCAAGTTGACTAGTGATATATTTATGCTGCTATCAAGAAGGGAAGTGTCACTCTATAATTGACACTGTGCTTATACACTTGGAGCCCAGTTAAAGGCTCCTGATAAGGTGAGAAGTAAATTGTCATTTTCCTCACCTGATTACCTACTATATTAAGGATATCTGCACTAGGGTTAGCTCTGCTTCCCTATTTCTCCTATTTTTGTCTCCATTCTGAGGTCTCTTATTGAATATGGCGATTTAAAGGATCCTATTACCATCATTTTCATTACCTCCTGAAAGTTGCAGGAGTAAGTGTGTGTTTTTATTTTTAAGCGCTCCACCTTTGCACTGTTTTCTGCATGTATTTGCACTAAAGTGTTTTTCTCTATACACTTGATTATAAGTAGGTTGAAGAGTTCCTACTTTTGGTGTGTAAGCTGCTATTTACTATACTGTGTATTATACTATATTCACATTTTTTAAGCGCCTTTTACACAGCACATTTATCTTTTACTATATTAGTTCAATCCAAAGCCTTCCCATGTGGATTGCATAATAGTAGTGTAGGATGTTAGGAAGCCCCACTCCTCCCATATTTACTCTGTCCAACAACTTAATTTAAGAAGATTTTTTTTCTTAAGGTCTCCTTCAATGGACTCCAATAGAAATGTGAAATTTGCCATATAAAGATTCTTGAGGGAATGGGTGATATTCACATATTGAAAGGTGTCAGTTGCCACTGGAATGGAAATCTAATCTTCAATTGTTGAACACCTGCTAGTGGTACAGGTAGGTTGAGTATCTCACTTTTTGCACATTAATTAACCCCTTAAGGACCAAACTTCTGGAATAAAACGGAATCATGACATGTCACACATGTCGTGTCCTTAAGGGGTTAATTTTGTTGGATAGTAGACTATATTTGGACATTCCTCCATAAGTGGTGGTAAAGAGGAGGAAGAGATCATTGAATAAGA